TGCAAGTAGCCCTCCTCTGGACCCTCTCAATGCTAGCCACATCCCTCTTGAAGTGCAGTGCCCAGAACTGGATGCAGTACTCCAACTGTGACCTGACCAATCCTTCCTCCATAGAGGAGAAGGATCACCTCCCTGGACCTGCTTGTGATGCATCTGTAGATGCACGACAAGGTGCAGTTAGCCTTACTGACCACTTCCTCGCATTGGCGGCTCATGTCCATCCTGGAGTCAACAACGACTCCAAGATCCCTTTCAGCCACCGTATTGACAAGAAGGGTGTTCCCCAGCCTATAGGTGTGTTCCTGGCTCTTTCTCCTTAGATGCAGCACCTTGCACTTCTCTATGTTGAATTCCATCCTATTCTCAGCCACCCACCTCTGTAATTTGTCTAGATCTAGCTGGATTCTGTCCCTCCCCTCCAGCATGCCCACCTTGCCCCACATCTTGGTGTCATCATCGAATTTGGACAGCGTGTTTTCCACACTCACATCCAGATTGCTGATTGAACAGTACAGGCCCCAGGACCGAGCCCTGGGGGACCCCACTGCCCACATCCCTCCAGGTTGAAAATGATCCGTCCACCACCACTCTCTGGGTGTGACCATCTAGCCAATTTGCCACCCACCTGACTCTGTAGGCATCAGTGCCACAGTTGCCTAATTTTTTTATGAGAATGGGGTGAGTAAGTGTCAAAGGCCTTCTTGAAGTCCAGGTAGACAACATCCACCTCAACACCCACATCTAAGGACTTTGTGACCTGGTCATAAAAGGAAACCAGATGAGTCAGGCAGGATGTGCCCTCAGTGAACCCATGTTGGTTGCCCCTGAGCATTACCTCCCCTGCTCGGCCCTTGCAGATGTGCTCCTTGATAATTTCCTCAAAGGTCTTCCCAAGGACCAAGGTAAGACTGGCTGGCTTATAATTGCTGGGGTCCTCCTTTCTTCCCTTCTTGTAAACGGGGACCGCACTGGCCCTTTTCCAATCTTCTGGTACCTGGCCAGAGCCCCACAAGCACTCATGAAGCTGTGCCAGGGGCCCTGCTATGACCCCCACCAATTCCCTCAGCACCCTTGGGTGAAGAGCATCTGAACCTGCTAATTTAAACTTGTCCAGCCCCTCCAAAAGGTCCCTAACTAGGTCATCCCTGATCCTAGGCTTGGCGGTGCCTCCCCTGGATCTGTTCGTAATCCTAGTGGGGGAAATGTCTTGGTCCCTGTTCAGGAATATGGAGGCAAAGAATTCATTAAAGAGGTCAGCTTTTTTGTTTGCTGCAATCACCAGATTGCCAAGCCTGTCCTGTAGGGGTCCCGTGTTACCCGGTGCCTTCTTCTTACTCCCTATGTATTTGAAAAAGGACTTTTTGTTATCCCTAATACTGGTCGTTAGCCCTAGCTCCATCTCTGCCTTCCTAACAGCCTCCCTTCAGTCATGAGCAATGGAGGTCTAATCCTCCTTGGTGATAGCCTCTTATGTGTATGTACAGCCTTCAACACAAGGGGCCATCAATTTTGATTGCAACATACTCTGAACTTGCCATCAGTCAGTAACTTACAGCTAATGTGATGCCTACACCTGAGTGCAGTATTACAAGTGTCATCATGTCCTACAGTGTCCTAAGGGAACTCCACACCCTAATGCCTCAGTATATGCAGTGCAGTGAAAGCTTTTTCACTCAGACTTTAAGGGAGGAAAGCAAAACTGTTTTCTCTGTAACAGTGTAGTATTAAAATTGTCCGTACCATTTAAATAATATTAGCATACATTTAACATGCATGAAACCCTACCTGCAGATTTGTGCCTGCTACAGCTCATACTTTCCTTCCAGCAGGGCCTGGAAACCAAAATTCTCTCCACATTCTCACTGGGCCTTTTAGCCAGGAACAGTTGCGCACTATTTTTGCTTGATGGTTACTTGTATGGGATTGGAAGGCACAGGCATACTGATTTATCATTTGTTAGCTTGGCTTGCTCTAATTGGGGCACACAGGGACTGGATCCTGCTTACACTGATGTTAAATGACAAAACGCCCACCAACTTTAGTAGGAGCAGGAACAGGCCCCACCTCCTTTATTTTTCTTTGTATATAGTATCAGTTGCTTGTGGTCAAGAAACTTCAGATTCCTGCTACAGTTAGCTGAACAGGATACCTGTCAATTCGGAGATACAATGTAAACTGTTGATTATCCAGATGAACCTCCACTGGAAGGTGCTACCTCTGGGCATTTATAAATGGGCTCCAGGGGAGGGGGAGCGCTTTACTTAGAGTGGCTCTCAGAGTGGCTTTCTAATTATATAATCTCTCAGAGCCACTCTAGTTAAAGCAGCCAGAGTGTCTTTTGTATCAGTAACCCCATGCTTCAAAATGGTGTGTGGGGGGGGCACTTTATCTAAAGCTGGCCAAAAAAGCTTCAGATAAAGCCCCCCCGCTGCCATTTTGAAGCATGGGACCCTGATACATGAGACGCTGGAGGCTGCTAGAGCATGGCAATTACCATGCTCCAGCAGACTTAATTAATTGATTGAGTCTGTTCAGTTAATTGAGTCTGCTCTGATGAGTCTACAGTGCTGTAGTTACAGCATGTCGGAGCAGCCTCAATGCTTGTGTATAGGCACCCTGTTACTAGTTAAAGGAAGTAGAAACAAGGTCCTGCTATACTTACTTAATACATTCCCAATTTCTAAGGCTTTTCAATAAGATTTTCAATAACAAAGTCTCTTTCTTATATAATACAACTTAACTGCAATTCGAAAAGAAGAATTACTTCATCAGCATTTCCTCTTTTTTTCGAATCCAGCTAGGTTCCCATGAGTTGTTTAAATAAATAACATTTCTCAAGTATTTAGGATAAAACCTATGTATTGGTTATAGAACATACTAAGGTAACATTAACTACTCTATTGTCACAATAAGAATATTTCCCGAAGATGAACACTGTTCTCAATAAAAAATATCTGTGAAATTTAAGGGACTCCTTAATTGTACTCCTTGTTGAATAAACAGACAAACAGCCTGATTTTTCAACTTTAGGATTTAGAGACTAAAGGCCTGTAAAATATCAGTCCATAAATTATCTTGGTGTTAATTTAATCATCTCTGTGACTCATCTGGTGAGGAAAGAAAAGTCATCATCATTTTTTTAAACTTTATCCAAAACTCAAGCTGCGATGCAACAGTTTGCAAGGATGCCCCACTGGTTCAAATGATTTCAGACATTCACTGATAGCTAAATGTTATGACCACAGAGGGCGAGGATGAACTTTGGCTGTGACCTGGATCTGCAATTCACAGTTTTTTTTCCATACAGCTGCAATAATATTCCAAAAAACATAATTGGCCTTTTACTTCATTCACTTTTGCAAATGAAAATAAAGCTACTGTGAGAGCAGCTCCTTCAATAATGTAATAAGTTTTTTTTCTAGCCTCTTCAACAACAAAGAACTCTCACAAGCTGCAAAGTCTTTCTCTAAACCTTTTTAATGGAAAAACTTCATAGAAAATATTTCATATCCTTTTACTTTTTTAATAACATATAACTATATACATGATTAAAAACTGGAAAAAAACTGAAGATTTTGGGAAAAAATGTTGAATACGTGTGGTTGGTACATTAAAAAGATTTTTCAGAAACTCATGTACATCAAAAGCAGCTACAGTGACAAAGCTGAAAAATGGCAGTTGTATATTATTTACCTGAATTTATTTGAAGTACACAGAGACATACAAAACCACACAAAAATAATACAGAAGAGTACACAGTATAAATGCTTATTGCTAGCACAGAAGGTATTTTTTAAGACTAAATAGCAAAAAAGAAATAAAAAAATCTCCTTTTCACATTTTATATTGCAGTTAGAATGTTAACTAATTTGTCATTTGCTGTATTTTTCTTTCATTCTGACATACTACAGCAGGAGTACATGACATTCACATTTAACAGCTCAGGAATACTTTGTTATTTTGTTTCATCTCCATGTTTGTGAATGTTTTGTCATTTATTAATCATGTATACATATTGCTTTAAACACACACGAAGAACTGACATGAGTTATAAATACAAAACGCTTGTGAGGCTCAACACTGCAAGGTGCTGAGAGCACTCTAAAGGCCCTGATCCAACAAAACATTTAAGGATATTTAACTTCAAATACACGAGTAATCCCTCTGAAGATGACAAGTCAAAAAAGGTGAACACATTCCAAACGGTGTGTTGAATTAGGCCTAGAGTGCTCAGCACCTTGAAGTACGGAGCATATGGTTAGAAAGCAGAAACTGATAAACACATGAGGCTATACTTCTGTCCTTACACTCCGTGTAATATAGGTACAGTAGACTATTTGCTGCACTTTTAAATAAATGTTCTTATTCTAAATTAACAAAACAAAAAGCAAGCAAGCAAACAAATGAGAAACTGGAGACTGAGTAAAGTCTGCAGCTGGAAAGAAGAAAAGACTGCAGAAGGGGGAGCAGGAGGGATTCCATAGGCAGGGACTGGTGTGACAGTGTAAAAGTCTCACTCTTCAACAGGCCTGCTCTTGTTTTGGTGCTGTGTTAGAACAAGAGTGGGTATAACGAAAAAGTACAGTAGCAGCAATTAAGCTCTCCTTGGGCTTGCAAGCATGGGGAGGACAGCAAGCCTTCTTTTCATAAGAAAACATAAAATCAAGCAAACTCGCCTGTCAGGAAGGTTTTTGCCAAGTTCTTCCAACATTAATGAATACATGTCACAATTTCCCAGCTGGCTAAAGTAGAAACATCTGCTGTAATCACGAGCGGGTTGCTGGCTGAGGATCCTGCAGAGTCTGTCTCTGCAGATATTTCATTAAAAATAAAAAGCTAGGCAAATAATAAAAGCTAAAATACTTCTGTAAAGCCTTTGGGATCCCTTTCCACCATCCTCAACACCTCCCCCCCCCCCCCCCCCCCCC